CCATTCTATTTTTCTAAAATTTGAATATCGAACTTACCAAATTACATCAACTCTTGAAACTCCGTAAAATCTTCGAAAGAAACTTTCTCGGCAAAGCTTTCCAAAACAGCGCGACGCAACTTAGAGGTCCGAAAAAGCCGGAGTTTCACCGGCAACTCCCGGCGTAAAACTTCGCTCAAACTTCAAAACGCAACTGAAGTCGTCCGCCCACAGGTTTGCCCTTTCGAATTCCTTCGGGAACATACGAAAGGCGGCGAATGGTTGTTGTATACATTTATTTGTTTACAAGCTTTTGTAAACTAGTTTAATTGTAAAATTATATTAAATTTTGTGGTATTCACAAGGTAGTTGTTTAGATTAGTTCATTTTAACTTAAACACCATGAATTATTCATGTTTTCCAACCAATACTGAATTAGCTTTGAATATTGTGAAGCATTTAATATGAAAATGAACAATCTCGATGTGATTTACATATGACAAAACATGCAATGCCTTTGTTACTGTGTCCATCATTAGCAACTAGGAAATAAATTAAAGAACAAATCCTAACCGATGAAATATAAGTTGGGAGAGATCAGGAACTTTTACATTTTTTTGCCTTTTTCAACTTTGGCATTGAAGTCGTTAATAATCATAGTCATATTTTGAGGTTGTTCAGATCTTAGAACTTCTTATGTTTGTCTGTAGATCTAAATAAAAATGATTATAGATTTCATATGTGAATATAAGAATTCTATTAGGGTTGTTTTTTGGCGATATAGAGCGATTTAAATTCCATGTTTACCTGTCTTACTTCAACAACAGTTTTAAACACCATTCAAAATATTGCTCTTAGAATGATATTTGAGGTAAATTTATAACAACTCATATCATAAGTGTTCAGGCCGAACTCGGCAAACTACCATTAGATTTAAGAAAACAGAAAGTAATACGCTCATATGCAGCGAAGCAGTACTCTTTACAATGTCACCAAATCATTCTCTGCTCGAATATTTAGCATGCAAGAACCCACATTCCCCCTCCTTGGCTAATATCTCCTTACATACATTTGGATCTATTGCCAGAAAATAAGAAAGAAAGCAATTGTCATTTAATTAATTCTAAATATCAAACCTCAGTTTCACAATTTTCCTCCTTCTAACGGAATAAGATCTAAGACGGAACATTAAGTAGCATATTGAAACAAAGGATGAAATAAAGAAATATAAATTAGCTGGGACTAACAAAATCCTGACATCCAGAAGTTGAAAGATAAAACCACAAGAGACGAAGTCAAAGAGAACATCAACAACAAAATAAACAGCATGGTAATCCCAGATATTAATCAAGAAAACATAAGTGTGGATGAAATGTGGAATAAAATCAATAATATATGTAATTCAGTGGTAGATAATAAACTTAAACCAAAAAAAAATATAAAGAAACAGCCGTGGATAAGACAAAAAATATTAGAGCTAATGGAAGAATCCCTAGAACAGAAGCATAACACTTTTAACCACATAAAAAGACCAAAAACTTAACGGGAGGAAACGAATCACGAAGTCATAACTTAATACTAGACGAGCACAACAATCTGCTCTACGAAAATGAGAGAATACTTGAGAGATGGAGGCAATACATGGAAGAATTATTTAATAAAGAGCAAAAGACAGAAGTCAGTGATTCTGGATGTTCAGGACCAGAAATAACGCTCAGTGAAGTAATATTTGCAATAAAAATACTAAAAACCAACAAACCATCTGGATTTGATGACATACAAACCAAAAAATCAACTCAAACTCCTAACCAGTCTACTGAACAAAATTTATGAAACTGCAGAATTTCCTACTGGCTAGTTTCCACCTTCATCTCTCTCCCCAAAAAGGCAAATGACACCAGATGCTCTGATTACAGAATTATAAGCTTAATGAGCCATCCACTCAAAATCCTTCTTTTTATTATTCACGCTCGCATATACAGAAAACTTGAAGGAAACATTAATGTTCAGTTTGGGTTTAGAAGCAGACTGGGAACGCGAGAGGCTCTAGTTTCCATACAAGTATTGATACAAAGAGCTCGAGACGTAAATTGCGAAGTCTACGCATGCTTTATAGACTTTGAAAAAGCATTTGACAAGGTGCAAGATCAAAAATTATTTCAGATACTAGAAGAATCTAGTATTGATGACAAAGATTTACGCCTAATTAAAAATTTATACTTACAGCAAAGGGCAACTGTAAGAGTAGACAACGAAACCTCACAAGAATTCACGATAAAACGGGGAGTACGTCAGGGCTGCATTTTGTCTTAATGTTCAATACTTACTCGGAAATGCAGTTCAGGGAAGCTATTGATGGTTTAAGAGAAGGTATAAAAATCAATGGTGAAATCATAAACAATTTAAGATATGCGGACGATACGGTTTTGATTGATGATAATGCAAACAATAATAGACCGTGTAGTCTAAGCCTGTGACAGATACGGCATTAAAATAAGCTGTAAGAGGACCAAAATTCTTGTAGTATGTAAAAACGACGTAATACAGTACCAATTCACAGCTAATAATGAACCCTTGAAAATAGTCGACAAAATTACATATCTTGGATGCAGACTTAATAAGGAATGGGACAACTAACAGGAAATAAGATGTCGTATAGAAAAAGCGAAAGCTGTCTTCAGAGACAGAGACCTTTTTATATAGAGTCCAAGCATGGACCTTGACAGAGCCAATACCCAAACGATTAGAAACCTTCGAAATGTGGTGCTACCGCCGCATGCTCAGAATTTTCTATATCCATCATGTTACAAACAACACCGTGATCCAACGTATGAATAAAGATCTGGAAATTATGCGTATCGTGAAAATCAGAAAGATGACATACTTAGGGCATGTGATGCGCAATGAGAAGTATCAACTAATTCAACTAATTTTACAAGGCAAGATAGAAGGCAAAAGATCTCAAGGCGCAGAAGGACATCGTGGTTGAAGAACATCAGACAGTGGGCAGGAATGACTACCATACATCTATTTAGAGCAGCTGTCAACAAAGTTGTATGGACCAATGTGATTGCCAACATTCACAGAGGATAGGCACCAAAAGAAGAAGAACAAAATCCTAACAAGAGAACTCTTTGCAATATATAAAGCCATATGTCACGTTCCGATAAGTCATTAAATAAACTTCTTAAATCTAAAATCTATTTTTCTCATCCTGTGGCCAAACTCATTAAACAAGAATTTCACAATCTTAATCGACAGAAACATTGCTTTACTGTGGGTGCCATCTCCCATTGAAATCACGGGACATGATCTGACAGATAAATACGCACGAGAAGCCTTAAAAGACACAACTATTGAGATATATCCATTAACTCCAGCGACAGATCTCAAATTATATTTCCACGCGAAAATAGTTGGCATATGGAATAGTAGATCTCTATGCGAGGTCAACTTTACAATTACATTTCTTGGTCTGCCAATACTTCTTCGTCCATTTGGTGACTTACCTTGTGCTATTAATACTATCCCGTCCTCTGCCATTTTACTAATGTGTTCATTCCACTCCTGTTTCCGTTTTGTCACCTATTCCACCGCTTCATAAATTCGCTTCATAAAATTCATATTCAATTCGCTTCATAAATTCGCCTTAGTACTTCTTTTTCAAACATTCTAACTTCATTACTTCTTGTTAGAGTTCAGGTGTCTGAACCATATAATTGAGGATTTAAGGAGATTAAGCCCAAAATAACATCTGTTTGAGGTGCAAATTCTGCGGTATATCCCTTTTTCTTCTTCTTTCAGTGCCCTGTCTAATTCTCGAACGTTGACGATCATATTGGCAATAATAACTTTGTTTACGGCGGCTCTAAATAAATTAGCAGTGGTCTCTTGATACCATTCTCGGAGATTTCGGAGCCAAGATGTTATTCTTCGGTCTGGGCCGCTCCTTTCGGCGATCTTACCCTATATTATGAGGTGTAGAAAGTTGTACTTATCTGAATGTCTCATTACATGACCGAAATATTGTAACTTTCGAATTTTTATCGTTTTTGTTATTTCTGTTCTTATTTTCATTCGATGTAAAACTATTTCATTTCTTATTCGATCAACCCAACTTATCCGCAATACTCATCGATAAATCCACATCTCAAAGGCCTTCAATGTTTTCATTAATGTCTCTGTAAGGGTCCAGCTCTCCATACCATACAGCAATGTGGAGAATATGTAGCAGCGTATTAATCTGATTTAACGTAATATCTCTATTAATTAGAATTTTTTTAATTCATAGAAGGCGGATCTGGCTTTTTCAATGCGTATTTTTATTTCTTTATTTATATCCCTGTTATCGTTAACGTTTGCGCCCAAATAGGTAATATTGTGGAGTCTTTTTAACTCTATTCCATACGCTCTGATGTTCGTTGCTTGTAACTCCCTTTTGCTGACAACCATAAGTTTTGTCTTAGAAGTATTAAGTTTTAGCCCATAGTCATCACATGCTTCGGTTACTCTGTTTATAAGTCGTTGCAGGTCTTCTTCATTGGAGGCAATAAGTACCGTCATCGGTATATCTCTGCAGGAGTATTATTTTAAGTGTTAAGGAGCGCTCCCAGGTATATAAATTCATTCACTGCTTCGATGAACACATATTATAAAGATAGAAAAAAAATGAATATATCATACAACTTTGATAAAAAATAATCAGTAGTTGTACTGTAAAAAAAATTATGCTTTGGCCACAAAAACCTTGTTTACTCTCAAATCAAGGTCTCAGTTTTTTGGATTCAAGTTTAGCTCTAATTAAACTTTCGCCTGATTTTATCACATATTGTCATAACATTTTAAATCAATGTTCATGTGACTCCATGTGATTCCTTTGATAAACCTGAAACTTTCAATCGATTTACTATTTACTCTATCTTTGATATCTTTGATATCTGGTATACATAAAAGGGTAACTTGATATATAGAATTTTAATGGATGTTAATTAAATGCTAGACTGAACTAAAAACATTTTATTGCCTTTTACACAATATATAATTTGATAAAAACTGAGTAAAAAAACAACAAAGGACTTAAAAAATCGAAATTTAAAAATATACAACTATCGTTAGAGCGATATGGCTAAAATTAGTAAAAACAACAAGAAGAAATGCCCAAATTTTCAATATTAATACAATATATTTTAACGATAATTAACAGTATCCATAATTTTCCTGAAAAAAAAAATCAAATACGGATATATGTATAATAATAATTCTTTTAAGTATAATTAAGATTTAAAGCATGCATCAAACTGAAGAAAAACTGTTGAAAGTTTGTGAAATATGTACAACTTTATAAATTAAAAAAAAAACGGTACAGCCAGGACATAAAACAGAGATGAACGTTATTTTCTAGACTAATTATGTGTCGTCTCCTTAATAAAAGGTTCTTCTTAATAAAATATCCTTCGAATCTTCTATGCCGGTTCTAAAAATTCCGTAAAACATCAGTTTAACCACATTCTTAGATTGTTTAGCCAGCAAAACGTCGTCTATATCGGTTTCTTCGTCCATACATTTTCTCCTGCATGATCGCCTTTAGCAGTTTGTCGACTTTCACCCTCACCCTTCAAAACATGGCAAAATATTGCAACTTTCTAATTTCTTTTCAAAACTACGTCGTTTGTAACTCTGTCTAACCAGCTTATTCCAAGCATTCTTCTGTAAGCTCACATTTGGAAAGCTTCCAATATATCTACGATCAATTTCTTTGGTGTCCATGCCCTTATTCCGTACAAGTACCACAGAAAACACGTAACATCTCAAAAGTCTAACTCTTAATCCAATCGGCATATTTTTATTTTTCATTTTGGTAAATATGTACCATGCTTGTCAATTTCTTGATTTGATTTCTTCATTATTTATAGTGGTTGTTGGTGAATATTTGTATTTTTGGCTCTTGTTTTATTTGTTCTCCGTGGATCATTAAGCTCACTTGTTATTATTGTGATTTAGTAATAAACATAAGTTTTATTATTACCATAAATTGATTTTCTATAATTATATATAATCTGTTATATCTAATAATAGAAAAAAGTACGTTTTTAGAATCAACCAATTTGTCTCAATATTATATAAAATACCCAACAGGCAATGAAATAAAATTAATCATTGAAAATAGGGCAAATCCTCGATTAAAGAATACAGTAATAAGTTATTCTTTGGTAACAATAAACACATGCAATATTTATAAAATTAAGATGACAACTTGTTGAAGTTTATGAAATTCAGGATTATTTATTCAGATTGTATGTTGCATAATAATGCTGATAGTATGCAGCCCTGTCTAGTTCCTCTTTTTTTATTGTGCACACATTTGAATATAGTTCCCATATTTTAACTTTAAATGAGTTTTTATCATACAAATTTTTTATTAGCCATGTGGTTAGGCAACCTCATATGTAGGGTTAATGGGGGAAATGGCAGCCACCTAAGGAAATAATTTTTGTAACCATACTATTAGCTTTTATACAACAAAGGCATTTTTTAAACAAAACTAATTATAATAGAATTGATTTAAAAAAAATCCAAAAGGATTTAGCTCTCATTGCCCCAACATGCAGGTAATGGGACCCATCAATTATTTTAAACGCTAAAGTAAGGATAATTTCTAACAAAGAACTTATAATAAACTAAATCTAAGGAAAATGGTAAACAAAAATAAGAACAAAAATATTAAAAAAACTCTAATTCTGCTTGTCCAAACAAAAATCACAAACATATCCTTTAGGGGTCTCTGCATCCGAACATTCAGAATGTGCCCAAATTCCGCAACAAGTACACCGATACCACAATTCATTTTTTCCAATATCGTCACAAATAATACATCCAATTCCGTCAATATCAAGATCATTACATTCATCGCCATCATACAATCCTGTTTTACTTTCCCAATTTGATGATTCGTCCGAAAACGCCTTTCGTGATTTTTCTTTAGGAGTTTTAATATTTTTTTGTTTGCTCCATTTACTAATTGTTTGATATTTTCCTTTTCTTCTCGTTCTCGTTTTTTCTGTTGCTTTTCTTCAAAAAGTATTTTCATTGGCTCTCAGTTACAATTATTAAAGGTTGTTTTTTTATCTAGAATACTTTTTTATGTTCTTTCGCATTTCTGGATAGTTGGAAATCATTAAAATAATATCAGAAATAGATGACGTGTTAACGCTTAAGTCTGTAGTTCCGTCATCATGTCCTGAACATCCACGTTGAGACAAATCTAGTACAGCTTCTGGTTTGAGGAAGTTCATGAGTGGGTCATATGAGCGGAGATGTTTACATCTGCGTTATTTCCAAGGTTATCTTGTACATCTGGTACAAACTAGTAGTTGACACTCGTATATAAAATTTGTGTCAGCAAAAATATTTGGTTGAATCGGAAAAATGCCAGTCCATTTAAAGCACGATATTTATTTGTCTGTTAAAGCCTGTCTAATATATGCTTCATCGAAGATACTTGCGACATCATAAGATGTTATTTGGAGTAAAGTACTCGATCTCATCTATAGATAATATTCCCTATAGTATGCTTTTTTCAAGGGTACAAATAACGTGACGTCCAAAGGTTGCATTCAGTGAAATGAATGTGGCGGTAGTGGCAGCATAATTATATAGCTGTTCCTAAAATGAATATAGGCTTCAAGTGTTGTGCGAATAGAATGATTGTCTAGCATAAGCAGAACTGGCTAGTCTTGACCCGATTTTGTGAATTTAATCAAATGCGTTAACCAATCCAGAAACATCTCAACGTTGGTACCAGCACCTATTCAACAGGTCACTACGTAGATGCGAAGACAAGAACACTCATGGCGTTCCCAACTAGTTGCAGAACCTATTCTTTTTTGTCATTTTTTTTTTGCTATAATAGTTACCGATTAATCATGCAGTCTCCCTTACATCGTTATTTCTGTCCACGATTTTCTAAAATTCGCTTTTCTATGCCATTGTGCCATGTTGTACCAGCTTGTTCCTTATGTCATAGTCTCATCTTAAATTTGGACGTCGTTTTGGTCTCTTGATGCCTTTTGATACCACAGTGTAGTTCTAGTGGACCACCTATTGTCAGTTCTTCTCGCTAAATGTCCAGCCCACTGCCATTTTAAAGATTTGATTCTGTGGATTATATCAGTAATTTTTGTTTTCTGTCTGATCCATTATATTCTTTTTCGATCTCTTTTTGTTATACCTAGCACGCATCGCTCCATTGACCTTTTAGTGACTTTGAGTTTCGATATATCTCTTTCTTTAGTGTCCAAGTTTCGCCATCGTATGTCATGATTCGTAAGATACAATGATCAAATGCTTTTTTCTTCAGGTGGATTGGCATCTTCGATTTGAATATAACTGCATTTCTACCAACAGATGCCCAAGCTAGTTTCATTCTTCTATTGATTTCTGGAAAGAGGAAGGCAAATTTATGTATTAATTGTCCCAGGTATACATAATCGTCTACTGTCTTAAGTACAGTGCTGTTTATTATTTTATTATTACATCTTGGACATCCACTAGCTCGTTGTACATGGTTTTTAGCTTTCGTCAAGTTCATTTTTAGGCCAACTTCATTGTTAGCTGCATTTAGGTCGCTTATAAGTTCTTGGTGTCGTCTGCAAATCTTAGATGGCTAAGGTATTCTCCATCAATGGATATCACTTTGTTCTGCCAGTTCATTTTGCTGAATATTTTTTCTAGAGTTGCAGTGAAGAGCTTTGGTGATATTGTGTCTCCGTGTCTCACGCCTCTGGTAGTGAGAAATTCTGGAGTGTTTTCATACATTTTTACCTTCTACCTTTAATTTTTTACCTAAAGTTTCTATCTACGGTTTGTCAATGCCTTGGTTGATCAAAGCTAATGATGGTCCAGTATCTTCCTGCGTTCCAGCCAGTCTCTTCCAGCTAGCTGCTTCTGGGTATTAAAACGATGCTTTATCTTTAGATTTTCTGCGAATCTATAGACAAGGCGACATAGTTGTAACCTCAATAAAAAACAATTGTAGAACAAGGACGTCTGCCTAATTGTGCCGGACATTGCAAGTTGCCGTTCTTTAATCTTCTTTGGAATGTTTGGTATGGGATATTAGATTGAAAAGCTGCTTTTCTATGAAAAATATGGTGGCTAATGGAATGGAGATACCCATTCCATTAGCCACCAACCTAGGCCTTTGGAGGTCTCCTGATGTCCACAAACCCTTACCGGTTTTCTTTTCCATGTTCTGGGCAGCAGAAATATATGTAAAAATGGGTCCTCTAGGTAATGGGGTCACATTAGGGTAATGATGACCATAGTGTATCTCATTACTCCAAAGTGCATTTGTCATTTAAAATATTTTAAAATAAAAAACATAATTTAACAGCATAATTTAACAGCAAATAAAATGTGATGCAATCAAACTACATACTTTTCGAACCTATAGCGATAAAATAATTTGCTTTTGGCTGTCATTTCCTTCATCTACCCTACCATTGTACTTTAGGACGGATCCCATTTTTCTGAATAGAAAGAACTTGTGTAATCTACTAAATAGAGCAGTAATAAAATTAGATACATAAAATCTAATCCATGCGATTAAAGCCATTATTTACTTAAAACTTTTATATAAATATCTTTCTTGCTAAATCCCATAAATTTCAACCAGTACAAAATCTTAGCGTAAAATAATTACAAATATATATAAACTTTATATACAAATAATATTCTCAAATATGTACATCAGTTTTTATACGTCATATGTAAAATCTACTTACAAAAGCTCTAAAAGTATTTTATATCACAGATATTTCTCTTGTAACAAAGTCTTACGAATATTTTTTGACTTTATTAAACTATTAACAATAAAATAGATTTGGCCTCAGTTCCTTGAGCGTAATCACGATTATTATATTTGGTAACGGTTGAATTGTTTATATTGATTGTAAAGATTATCTAACTTTGTTTTTTTTTAAAGGTACTTGTTGTGACTTAAATATGAATATAAAACTTTAAAACTACCCCCCCCCCCCTCCTATATTCAATGTTTAGAAAATGTATTCCATAGTTTTTGTAAGAACTCTAAATGGTCCATGTGCAATCAAAATGATCTTGGTGATTAATTAAAAAAAAGATAGAGCATGCAAAGCTTTTTTAATCAAAATAGATTTAGGCCACTGAAGAATTAACAGCATCACAAACTTTTTAGGTTAATAAAATATTTTCAACTGGGTTATAAAAATTTACGTATTGGCATTTACAGCTAGCTACAGAAAGCTCGAAGCTCAAGTGGAAGACCAAGTGAATAGAGCAAACAGAGCCGCAGGCTACCTGAATGAAACAATATGGAGAAATAAAAATATCGGGAAAGAAACGAAAGGCAGAATTTACAAAACAGTCATAAAACCAATAATTACACGCGGCAGAAACATGACCTGACACGTATAGAAAAAGATATTGATGGTAAGACACTATGGGGAAGAGCAAGAAGTACAGATATACGACGTAGATGTAAGGTGGAGAACAACAACAGCTGAGTAAGAAATAGAAGAGTAAAATGGAACGATCATATAAGCCGCATGACAACACGATGAAATGACAACTTACTAGAGACACATTGAAAAACAGACAGTCATGTCTACATAAAAAGAAGAAAAAGAAGAAGATTTAGTGAAATCTCAAATGGAAAGTCGTTCAGAATGTTAGATTTTGAGGCGTGAACTTCGCGAAACTATTTGCAATATACTAGAAATACCTAATCCAACAGAAAAACCAAATAGATGTACATTTTGTCCCAGACACGAAGATCAAAAATCCATAGTTAGCTGCGCCATATGCAAAAGATTCAGTTAGGTATTTGCAGCACCAAAAGAAATATGCCCAACTTGTGGATAATAATATAATAAAATATTTTTGTATACAAAATAAACTCTTGGCATGTCATAGCTTAAGATTGATTTTGTCATATGTTCTTAAATATACATATATAAATATTTTTAGGTCGATTTTATTTGGTGTACCACGGTACCGCCCATGTAGCAGATTGAGTTAAGAAAGTAAATGTAGCAATCCAGGACTAATAAGTGCTCGCCATACAGTGGGAATTAAAATAATCAGATCAGGACTATCCAACAATTTAGCTAATAGCAATATGAACGATGGATGTCAATATAGAAATTCACAGCACCTTAAAAAATATCTCTTATGCTCCAACAATAATTTACCAAATAATAAACAGGAAATGTGTCAAAAAACAAACAGACGTACATATATTGTTTGTTGACAGCTTAGAAAAAACCAAGGAAATAAATAAATAAAAATGTTCCCAAGAAATCCACACAGATGCTAAAACATTTTCATGAAATAAGTACGTATCGGAAATTAATAGCAATACCCTTCTCTTTTATGTCTGGAACAAAGTTAGAAAAATATCTGGTTTACACACTTCACACAATTTCAAGGATTTAGAAGAAAAAATAATTTCATAACATCGAACAGTGATACTGCAAACATTTTTGGTAGAATCTATCAAAGCCACTCATCGAATTAACAGTATACAGCCAATTTTCTTAAAGTCAAAGAATTCGACGAACAAAATCCCGTACATCAATTAGAAGTTCAAAATAATTCCTTACACCGATCCTATCTCTTTTCAATAGATAAACTCATCTCTTCTTAACCTGAAGGATTCTAGTCCTGGACCTGATGATATTCCTTCAGCATTTCTGAAATATCTTCCTGTTTCAGCCATAACGTATCTTTCAAACATGTTTAACAAAATTTGCTCCACACCAATGGCCAGCTATTTGGTCAAAGCCAATAGTTATTCCTCTCCTAAAAACTGACAAAACTGACAAATATAACCCAGAATCATACCGACCCATATCTCTGACATCGACAGCGTGCAAATTACTAGAAAATATTGCTAACTCAGGCTCTTATGGGTTTTGGAAAATTCCAATTTCTTAATCTCCGAGTAAAATGGCTTTAGAAAAGATCGGTCAACCATAGCAACATTTTTGACTTGGAAAGTGAGATACATGAAGCTATTGCTACACACCAAAATGCGTTGCTATATTTTTTTATTTAGAATTTTCATGTAATAAAGCTTGAAAGTACATTTTGAGACAACTTCATAATTGAAATTTTCAAGGTCACTGCCTTATCTTTATCCAAAACTCTTTAAACAACAGATCTTTTCAAGTGAAAATAAATATTTTTTCAAATATTTATCATTTGAAAAATGGTGCACCCCAAGGATCCATGCTCAGTCCAACATTATTTCTAGTGCCAATAAATGATATAATCAAAAATATCCAAGCACCTTTACACGCCCATTTACACGCTGACGACATAGTGGTATCTATTAAAAGCAAAAATATCTTCTTAATGTCTTCAATTCTTCAAAACTTTTTGGAAACTCTCGAAAATTGGTCCCACCTTACAGGTTTTCAATTTTCAATAGAAAAATCAATAAGAGTTGTATTCTCTTCAAGCTTCTTGCTATAACCCCCAAACCTGAGAAAAAGAAACAGCTGGAGTTTAGAGATCATCACAAAGTCTTGGGTTTAATCTTTGATTCAAAGCTTACATGTAAAGACCACATCTCACAACTCATCGTTTCCTGTAATAAAAGATTAAAGTGTAAGATCTTTGGAAAACTGGCCTCAGACCAATCCACTCTACTTCTTCTGTATAAATCTTTAATACGTTCTAAGCTAGATTATGGAGCAATATTCCACTTCTAATCAGTCTCTTCTTAAATCATTAGATGTCATTTATAATAAAAGTTTTAGATTAATTACAGGGGCTTTTCCAACTTCTCCGGTATCTAGCATTTATGCTCTATAGGAACCAGCGCTACATCATCGCTGCATGCTCCTCGCCCTATCAAATGCAGTCTCAGTCGCTTGTAATATTTCAAAACCAATATATCAAACTCTAAAAAAAAATCTCAAAATTGTCTAATAAAAAAAATCCACATAGAAAGTATTGTCGACAAATTAGAAAAACCAAAAGCACCGAAAATAGAAAACACAAAGTGTAACAAACAAATGTTTACGGATATGCCATTCATAAGCAAATATTTCTAAAAATACATTAATTATAAGTAACTCATGTACTAATAGATTTTTAATTGTTTTATGTGAAATAACGGGATTATCGTTTAAGTCAAATTTAGCGTAGGTAAACATTTTCTTAGAATATAAAAGCCCCTTGAAGATTTCCCGTGTGTAACAAGATCTTCTTGATAACACGTATCCATATTTAGAGACAAAAACTACTTTGTAATATTATAGTGCTCTCAAACTAGAGATTGTGTATTGCACTTGTAAATATGATATGGTATAATGATAGTCACACGCCATCTTATTTAACATTAGAACAATGTATGTGTCTACCCACACACAATAGTTATGAATTTATAAGACGGTGGATATCTCTCGTTAAATATTACATATATTGTTCTTGTAATACTCATAAGGATGAGACTAATTTTTGAAAAAATCCTACGAGTATCACAGCAAGTATTGATAACCTTAAATTGTTTACATGATTGTTAACCGACGAGCTCATTTGTGTATGAACTATGCTTGCAGCTGTCAAAGAACTGAGGCTCAATTCGCTGACAATCCTAGGACTTTGAATATTGATGAGGCTCGCAATTTTCTCTGCTTCTCGTATACAGGCTTCGAGTTGCAAATCGGAAGGATTCCTAAAAAACATTTTGTATGTTAATACCCAAAATTTGCTCAATATATTTTAACTAACTTTAAAAATGTGTTTTTTATAAACATGTTTAATACACAAAAGATATAATTTACCTTTCTGTGCTATGAACGATGACAAATATATCCAGTTCAACCGATAAGTAACCTTTTAAGGTACATTGTGCAACTTGAATTTGTCTTTCTAATGCTTCTAACACCGACTGGAGGTTTAATGGTTTGGTAGTATGATTTTGAAGGGCAAACAGTGCCCTATCAATCTGTTTCCTTGAATAGAGCAAACGCATGGCTCCTCCGCAGATTGGACAACAAGCTCCAGGTGGGGTTATTCCTACAAAAAGAAATGAAAAAAGATTGGTAAAAAAGAAAATAATAAATATGTTATATATATTTATTTCAGCGTCGGATGGGTAGCTTTATCAGACTCAATAAAATGCAAGTAAAATATATTCAAATTGTAGCATAATTTTTTTTTTGTTCAACTATCGAATATTTAAATATATAAAATTTATTTAATTAACCCCTGGCTAGTACGTAACAATAATCTGAAGATTTGTTTACCCAGGTGTATGTGCGAGACATCTAAAGAAAATATTAACTGCGAAGTGTCTATTTGCGTCTTAATTAAATAAATTCTCACAAAAATTTAAAGGCCCAGCACTTTAAGGTCCATTATCGAATCAAAAGTGTAATTAAAAAGAGATTCAATTGGCTGGCAGTTAGAAACTAGTATGGAGAGACAAGTTTGACAACGAAAGGTTAGTGGGAGTTGAAGCTCGAGAGAAGCGGAGAGAACTAATTGAGGTCTGAACGAGGAAACATCCTTTTCGGTTATAGTTTCAAAATCCGGCAAATTTTCGCTTAATTCGATGAGTTTTGGTTAGAAGGAGGTGATTTAATCTCGAAATGCTATTTGGCAGTCTTTGTAAAGTGAGATAATCACCGGTTTGTTGCTGTATTCCGTGTCAAGGAATCTCATAAGAGAGTTTCTGATGGCTAAGTGGCCTACATAGTTTTGAGTGAAAAATAAACAACTGAGTTTTGAAGAATCGTCCAGGATAATCTGAGGCCCAGATTTGTTGTTTGTCAGCCTCCATTTTGTGTCTCCCATTGGTCGTATCCAGATCGTTGAAGTTTGTGTAGAACAGTGCATTTTGTGTCCAATTCATAAATATAAGTTTTATAGATCAGCTAATTGTCATGTTTTAGTTTTCTTTTAAATAAAATTACCTGTTGATAATTAATTAATAATTTAGAAAAGTTTGGTATTTCATTTCGACATATGACAGTCAGTATATCCTTTTCTGTCATTTGGTACATAACCAAAATTTTAGATTTTGCTTTGTTAGATTCTATTTTATTAGAAGGTTAAGCTTAATGTAAGGTTTGTTAATAAATTTGGATATTTTTATTTGTAATAGCTGTTTATGTGAAATAAAAATAAGGATGTAATGTTTCTCTTTAAACCAGGAGTCATATCTTTAAAAGATTCACCCTTGAAATTTTTTAGGAGAGAAAAACTTTTCTTTCTATCCAACAAGTGGATGCTTTTAAACGGCGTTAACCCCCAATTAGTAAAATTATTAATTGTTACAAAATAAATTAAAAAATCCTTAACATAATCCTTTCGAATTACATCACAGATTGTTTTCGGAATGTATATTCCATCTTCAGTGTTGCTGCTAGGTATACGTGTTTAAAGTAACTAAATACATGGGTAAAAACCCTTTAGTTGGTGATTTTATATTACATTTTTGCTGATAATTTTATAGGATATTAAAATTTTAAACAGATTCATTTCATGCAAACGCAAAACTACCAACTGGAGTTACTAGCATGGAGACGTTGCCTCTATACGAACCTTAGGTATTAATAAAATAGAATAGAATTTATTCCGTCAATATACAAAAATAGTTTTGTTTTTGACAAGTCAAAGGAATATGACAAAAAGAAAAACAAGTGAAATCCAGACTTTTTTCAGATTTTGTTTTTAAGTAGAGAAATTAATCAAGATGATCAGAAATACATGGGCCAACAATATGTTAATAGGTATTAGATTGCTTGAGGTTACAATATAATTTTTCGCACACACTTTACCCTCCTTATGCTTCTCCTATTGTTTTTCTTAATCTCAACACGTTCGCCTTACTTGATGGCTTTTAGAGTTTGTTTCAAATCGTATATAAGAGTACAGGTTATATTAGTTAAAAAATGTTTACAACAGTTAAAATTAAAAATTTACGGACTTACCTATGCAATTAGAATTTTGTAATTCCGGACATTTAACTCCTAGACACTGTTTAGATTTAATATTTGTAATAAGTCCCATTGCAACACACGGTCCTTCATAGTCGACAGCCACCATATCGGCGAATGCAGCACATTCAGAAATGTAGGTTTTTCCATTAAATCCGCATACTTGTGAGCGATGTTTACATTTTGTTAGGCATCGGCCTCTATAAGCTAGTTTAGCATTGTGGTGTGCTAGAAGACATGAGTTTTCATATTCTTGATTGTCGATATCACATACTGGATCCTTAGGAAGGTATGAGCAGTTAGAAGATCCATTTACTAAAACATTGAAATAAATATTTGGTATAATGTCAGTCCTATATTTGGTGCTTTGGTTTTGGTATATTTCTAGACCCAAAATATTTAAATGTAGGTATAAAAAAAATGTCAGATACCCCCATTAGATCGAATTGCAAATAACCTTGCAGGAGCACCAGCACACTAGATGTAAATAATGGATTTTACCAGATAGTACTAGGTGAGGAAAGTTTGTACTGTTGGATTTCTCTTGTTTAGGTATCAGTTAATCAGATTACTATATGGTATAAATTCAGCCCCTGGGGTATTTCAAGACAGATTAAAAGTTTGTTCCAAGGAGATGGTACAGAGGTTTATTTGGATGTTGTCTTAGTATGAAGCAAAACCAAAGCAGAACGTACAAAGAATACTAAATATACCCAAAATGTTATTTCCAAAAAAAGGATTGTCCTATCTCCATCAAAGCTACAAGCTATAGCAACCTCAAGACAAAATTCACTCAATTTGTAGCAAATTTCTCATCGGAGACACAATCAGTAAAGAGACCACTTAGGAAAGAAATGAGTTTTAAGGACCTATAGATGTTTAGTAGAAGATGGCTTATAGGTGTTTTGTATGGCCTTTTAAATGTTACAGCAAAAAATTCCTTTGTTATTTACAATTGTAACATTCCAAATTCCACAGAGACCCAACGAAAAGTTTTTACAAATTTAGCATGTAGCCTTATGTACAACCACCAGAAGAATCGAAGCCAAAATGTCTATATATCCAAAACAATAAGGATTCGATTAAAGGAGATCTGTCATTTGGATGAAGATGTGGTGACAGTTTAAAGAACTCCGGGAGCAATTGGGAGGTGTGGTGACTGTGGATGGAAAAAGAATCGAAAAACAAAATATTTTTGTTCGATTTGTAAAAAGTATCTTTTATTGGAACATGTAAATCGAATTTGCAATTAATTTAACTATATTCCGGCTTTATTTTGATATGTTTTTGCAATCTCTTATATTTTTTTATGATAAGTCTTAGTGAAATAATGTTTTATTTTTGTTTTAAGATAGTTCTTGAAGACTGATATGTTATGTTCTAATTTTAAATCAGTTGTAATTTTTTTAGTAAAAAAAAAGAATAAATAAAACTATTATAAAAATTGTGGACTATTTTTTGTGCTACGTAAATTAACATTTTAAATAAACAAAATATGTCAATAATAATAAATAATGTTAAAAAAACTATAAACAATAGACTATTTTATTGAATAGGTAAAGAAATAATAAATAGGACTTACAATCAATTGATTGTGAGTAAGTCTTATATATTATTTCTTTACCTATTTAAAATGAAGTCACACAAGCAACACATTCATAATATTTTAGTGAAATTTAAATAAAATGCATCCAGAAGACTACTTTTATGACCGGTGTAATAGACCATGCGACTAGAGATACACAAAATTAAACTGCGTCAAATACTTAACTATAATAGTAGATAGTCAGAAAAGTATTTTCAGTAAATATTGTACACAATAATTACGAATATTTTCAAATAGTTTTTTTAAATAATATAATGAAATATCCAAGCATAAGTGATAATAAACTAAAAACATGATTTAAAAAAATCAAGACTTTTCAACCATTGGCGCCATCTATGAAGAAATTATTAACGTCGGAATAGAGTATATTTTTATAGTACTAGAATCATCGAGCAATAAGACAAAAGAGGGAATCTAATCGTTATAAAAAGGAGACCAAAAAAGTGGCCTCTGATGGCGGACACATCCGGAAATGCAAAGGCGCTAAATTTAAATTTTCCAACATTTGTTAACAATAGCTATAAAATATTTTTCAGACTAGAAAGTTTTAATTAAATATTAACGATAATAGTCTAAAAAGTGACATAATTGGTAAAAAACTTCAATATAAATAAAATTTCATGTGACAGTTGGGACAAACAATAACATAACCAAACTAAATTTGACTTCTTAAACAAGGAAAGAGACTGTCTATCCTTGTCTAAAGTGGCCTCTCAAGATGGCACTTCCTGTCTATCAATATGTTTACCCCTTCTACCTTTACATTCCCTCTTTTGTCTTATTGCTCGATGACTAGAATGCATGGCCTGGAATCTTATATGAACGACTTGGTTCATTCCCCCATCACTTTGACCCCAGCGAGTTAATAAAGAGAAATGACAGCCTATCTCTCTCACGAAGACTTTAACCAATCATAAACCAAATAACATAATCAAACGAAGCAATGTCAATTCTGTCAATCCAAATTAATGACAGATCTTCCGTTTGTTTACAAGTTTTCAATTTTATTTTATTATCTTTAACTTTCGTTTGCATTTATTCTTAGTAATTTTAATTTAAATTTGGTTACTTAATTTTTAAAGTTTATTTTGAGTTACCTATTGTAGCAAAGAATTTTTGTGTTGTGCTAGTAACAAAACTAAACATGGTGAATTATTGTATTGTTCGTTGTGTACAAATCATGGAAAAATTACAAAAAGAATGATAGTAAGTTGTCAGAAAGCAAAAAATAATAGTATTTAACTTCTGCAAATATGTGTAATAAATATTATGTAATTATTTTATAACTGTTTTATCTTAAACAACAAATAAATATACGTATATCTAGAAAAAATTGTGCATCTTATATCCTTATTTTCCAATAAATTTTAATTAGTAACGAAATAGCCCACAAGAGGCGCTAAAGGGTATGTATGTAAGGGGTGTTCATTCGAATTTGCCGCCAAAAGATGATTAGTATTGACCCCAGCCGCAAGGGGCCTAATGAACGAAATTTATACATTGAGTTGCCTATCTATTTCTACTATTATATTATTTATCTATGACTAGAATGTTTGGAATACTCTCTACCAGGCGGGGGCACTAGTATTTCAAAAAATAGTTCAAGATTCACAAAAACTTAGCTTACTTTACTCCATAATAGAAAAACTATAAATACTCAAAAATAAAAATTGTAAAACGAGAAAATAATACCGCCTTTCATTCATGCCATCTATGAGGAAATTATTTAACGTCACTACTAATCAAAGGAATCTTAGTTTAATATCTGTGCTGCTAATAGAAAGTTTTGAATAGTGTCTAGTATGGGGCAGCTGTAGTATTTTAAATGGTTCAAGATTCATTAAAAATTGATTGTAACTTATACAGGGTGTTTCGAAAAGGCATGTCATAAATTAAATCATGCATTCCGGGGACAAAAATAAATTGATTGAATCCAACTGAGCTTGATACAAAAGTGTACACAAAAAAAAGTTAAAGTTCTTTGAAGTTACAAAATAAAAATTGTTTTTGTGCAGTATCTCGCTAAACTACTTGACATTTTGTAATAAAACTGGACACGTTAATTTTAAGGGGGTGTGCAGCCCTAAATCTCCCCAAACTTTTTTAAATCAAATGAATTTTGTGGCATCATTGAACACATTATTTTTAAAACTTTTTTGCCTCATCACTGTTTTCAAAAAACAGTTTTTATTGAGTTACTGCCTTTTTCATTAACCTTTTTATTTTAAAATTTTAAAATTACGTGCAACTAAATAAATGGCTTGAATGAATTAACAAGTACAAAAAAATGTCTATAACCTCTATAAATATGATATTACAATATTCTCAGTGAAGTATTCTCAGGAAAAGTTTTAAAAAGTGACTCATTAGGCTTATTAGTCGGTGGTCCTTGCAGAAGTTTGCACGTGGTGTTTTTGGTAAGGCGATAAATGTAGATTGAAACCAATCTTTTGGAATCTGGCCCGTATCGTAGATGTCGTTAAAGAGCTTGACAATAGTGTCTAGGTTTTCTTCATTAAGTAACTTGATTGTTTCTGCGTACATATAATCTGGTCCTGGGGTTTTGTTACTTTTTAATAGTTTGATAGCGTGTACAATTTCAGCTTTCAAAATACTTGGGCCATACAAATGGTCTCCCTGTTGTGGCGGTTTTTGTGTTCTGTCATCATAGAACAAATTGGCTGTGTACATTTTCCAAGTATTAAGTATATCGCAAGGGTCCGTTATTAGTTTATTTTGGTCATTATTGTTGTGTATTTGGTATTTCTTACTTAAATAAGGTAATAATTAATAATACAACGTGGTTTTACATCATTAACCTTTATTGCCTAATAACTAACTTCATTCCCTTGTGTCAGTGAGCGGTGTTGCCTACCTGTGTTGCCAAGTATATAACACCTCCTCTCTTGACCAAAATTCATAAATACAGATTGAAATGAAGATGTACTTACAAATTCATCCTCTGAACAGGTTTACATACTCTACTTGAACGCCTTAACACTGGTTCAGCTTCAGTGTGAGCCTCAGGTACTGTTGGCTCTATTGTATTATTTAGAAGTTCTTGTACATTTGTAGGTGGTGAAACGGAATTGGGTTCAGGGACAGATACCTCCCTTGGAACTATACTATGTGTAACTGTATCAGGAATGAAACAAGTTGGGTTATATTCTATAGGTGTATCCTGCCCAATTACTCTAATTTGGTCAATATGACGTCTCCACGTCCTACCATCATCTAACTCAACTAAATAATGTAATAATCCTAACCTTAGTATAACCTTGCCAAATTGCCATTTGGCATTAAAGTAATCTCGCACTGAGACTCTGGTATCTATAGCAACATTTCTAAGACTCTGGTCTGTGTAAGCATTTTTGTCATGAGTAAAAGGTTTAAGTAAATCTAATCTATTTCTAATCTGCCTTCCTAGCATACGTTCAGACGGGCTTTTGCCAGTTACTGTGTGAGGTGTTCTACGATACTGCATTAGTAACTTGCACAATTCAAGTTCTCTGTCTTTCTCTTCACTGTGCATGGCTCGCAGACAATTTTTTAGTGTTTGGACATATCTCTCCCCCTGGCCATTCGTGGCTGGGTGATAGGGTGCAGTAAATTTATGTGTGATACCATTATTCTTCATAAATTCTCTAAATTCATGAGAATCAAATTGTCTACCATTATCAGTAACAAATACTGTGGGTATTCCGAAAGTAGTGAAGATTTTTCTACAAATTTCGATTGTAGTTTTTGTAGTAGTGTCTTTCGTGAAATGTATTTCAGGCCACTTACTAAAAGAATCAACTAAAATGAAGTAATAGCCTCCGTTAAAAGGTCCAGCATAGTCAGCATGTACTCTTTCAAAGCAAAATTTAGGTGTTTCCCATTTAGGTGTTATATACTTGGCAACACAGGTAGGCAACACCGCTCACTGACACAAGGGAATGAAGTTAGTTATTAGGCAATAAAGGTTAATGATGTAAAACCACGTTGTATTATTAATTATTACCTTATTTAAGTAAGAAATACCAAATACACAACAATTATGTATACCAGTGACTTGTTTTTTCTTGAAGACACCAGCAATTTCCTTACATTTTCTTGTGAAGATTGAAGCTGTCGCCGAGTTTATATAGGTTTTCAGCCTCGGTGCAAAGTGTAATCATCCAGATCTCCCTCGCCGCTATAATTTCTTTACGAATTTGACTGTGTATATTTCGGTACCCTACTCTACCCTACATATACTATAAAATTTTAATTGAATCAAATATTTTTGCATGGTGCTTAAATTCCAGTTGATAAAATAATATTGCAATATAGAATAGTTCCAGGGTATAGGTTAAGTTATAACTTATAAGTATTGGACAGAGAATATGTTCAGGTTATTTGGATCAAAATATATGGCTGTTAGACCAAATGACATATTATTGTGAAAAAAGGTTAAAGTTGAATTTTTTTTAAGTTATGTTTAAATATCGGTTCTCTTTTTCAAATACAATTATTAAAACCATGTTCGAGAAACGAACATTTAAATAGTTTAGAGTTTCAGAAGAGGATTTCAAATATTACTTCATTTTTGGAAACTGTCTTTGGGCAGTCTAATCATTGTTATACGTAAATTTTGTGCCACAAATGCAGTTTGTTTCATTGTCCTAATTTGGGTGTCGATATATTTTTTAGTATTTTAGTTATTAGGTTGTAGACGACATTCAATGGACTTGTAGGTATACATTTTATGTAAGTATGGGCTACAAATAAGTGTAAATAAGTGAAAACAAACACAGAAAGGACAAAAAACTAACCATTGCTATCAAAACATAGATATAGCTGTTATGATAATAATAGGGCCTATAAAAATTTTGTAGACAAAAGATATAAATATACTTACTACACTCATATTGATTACATGGTTTGTGCATGAGACTCAAACATACTTGAGGATCCGGAACACATTTTTGCCCAACTGGACATGAGTTAGCCTTACAAGGATTCTGACAAGGGTAATGTTCTATATCTGCATCATTTAAATCAGCACATCTACAAAAAAGTATAAACCATTAAATAATAACAAATTAACACGATTATAATAAAAACAAATTATTGTTTAATACAGAAAATATTTAATATTGACTACTAAAAAACTTACTTAGCTAAACAAGTTGATGGATAAGTAATTCCATTTCTTCCACAGACAGGTACGTAATGTGGGGGACAATTACAAGGTAATGTGGTATAGGCAGTGTTTCTGCCACTGAGACTAGTACTTTCACACTGCTTCTTACTACATATGGTTTCTCCTGCATAACAGCTGCATTGGTTACAGTCCTGGTGGAAAATTGTCCCATGAGGCTCTTGAGTGTTTCCCAGAAGACACGGTGTCAATGGGTAACAGAGTAGGCGTTTATATTCCTCTATTTTGTTTTTATTGCATTTACAAATTTTGACACAACCTTCCGGACTGTTCGGGGTAGGAACACGAACGTAAGTTCCGTCTGGTACCATATAAGGCGATACTTCACCTAAAAATTAATATAGTTGTTTATATGCAGGCCATATCATTTTGGCAAACCAGATGCAAACTAGAGATCGAAGGAGCTATTAAGAGATGCAAATAATAAACCAAGTTACGTCTTTTAATTATTTGGGAAAGGATATAACAAACCAGCGAGACATCTATAAAGAAACAGCCAACCAAATCAGAAAAGTAGCAACAACAGCAGATGCATTAAAAGACCTAGTGTGGAGAAAGAAGCATCTAGGATTGAAAACAAAAACAACAGTTACAATTGTGAAATACAATCTGTATTCGACAATTAGATCAATACTTACATATGAAATAGAAACACGAGCTGATACATAAACACAAAACAGGCCCTAAGAATCGCTGCGATGAGGACATTATAGTGGAGAAAACCAGACGGGATCGATTAAGAAATAAATATACCTATAAGGCAAAAATATGATATTCAAGAGTAGTGAGATGGGTAAGAAAATGAAGAAGAAATGGAAATCAACGTAACGATAGTGGGAAAATATAGAATTGCCAAAACTTGTAAGAAAGCAAGTGGGAGAAGGATTCTAGGAAGACTAAATATTACCCAGTACATACAGGTCATATACCTAATGCATATAACGATTTTACTGTAAGGAATTAAATTTTAGGTTATAATAATGAGTGAAGCAATAGGTGTAAAAAAAATTTTTACTACTTACCCAGTTTACATCCAGGTCTACAGAGGTACGGCTTGCAGTTAATACCATGAATACAGTTTCTATTAATCAAACAAACTTCATCTGCTTCACAAGGATTTCCTTTACAGGGACTAAAGACCTGGCCAGTAATTCTCGATGACTTATAAGAAGAAGGATTTAAATAAGTCTGTAACCTTACACAGGAATCATCAGGATCCTCCGGCGACAGGCTTTCGCAAATTGACTCAGGAGAATGAACTGGAGAAACTCTAGTCCAATCGACACATTGTGAGAGTATGTCCAAGCAGACATCTCGACATAGTTGATTTGCGTGTGATGTCCTTGAACATGGTTTTATTTGAAGAGTACATGCTACTGCTTTCCAGATATTAGGTGAGCATTTTGTAGTGGATTTTAGGGGAAGAGTGAGTCCTGGTGCTAAAAATTTTTTCTCATAAAAATTGTGTTACCACAGTAAATAAAATAACAACTATAAGGATAATCGGAAGTATGGCTAAAAGATTTGTCTTCACGGCTTTCAGTTTGTCTTTGACTTACCAATATGTAATGAGCACCAAGTAGTGCAAAATGTAGGTCATTTATGTCTTCCAGGTGCATCTTCTAGAACCTAGATGGCTCTTGTAGAATTTACCTTCTGAACAACGCTTTTCCAATTATCTTAGTCTTGAACTAAGCAAATCCTGGTGATCGTTTTCTATGTTTGATAACCTTCTAACTATGGGTCTATTATTATTATAGTATTTTCCGATATACTGCTAAAAACGTTCAGACCTTCACTTTATATCTCTTTTTAGCTCTTGAAAGAAATTTTGCCCTCCAAAATTTGGTTGACTTCAACATTAATACATACGATAGTCTTCGAAAGTTATCTTAGTCATACCCAGTATCACAAATTCATTTTAGATTTGCCCTCTTCCACAATTTAGTTTTTAACAAAAAGAGAAATCATGCGATTTCTACCTGGCGAAATCGAATTCAAATATTTACTGCTGTGCTGTCTAAAACTTGCAAAGCAAACAGCTTGATAAATTACTCGGCAGAAGATTGCATTCCACATGCCGTTCATCATGGTCAGAATTCGTAGTGAATTATATTTAAATTTGGTTTTTCTTTATTTTTCTTCGTCTCAATTTTAAATGAAATTTAAAATACATGAACATATAACAGAAGTTAAATAAACAAAAAAATACAAAATTGTAAATAGAGTTCGGCCAAATAAATATTTTTATGTATTTTAAACAATAGTTAGTTGATAAGTATATTTACCCAATGAAATATTATTTTGCATTTGCCAAAGGGCAACATCATTTCTGGCCGCTTCGTCAGCTTGAGAAGTACAGGCTCTAAATAGTTCTGTAGGTTTATTGTTGAAGTTCGTACAAAAACTCAGCCCATCACATCCAAGTTCACAGGGTTCGTCAACTAAAAAATAAACATTTTTATATAATACTTAGTTGTACGATAGTAGTTTACTTACTCACAAATTCTGAATATTTTGAAAAAGTTTAAACATGTTATATTCAATTGTATTTTTGGGGCGTAATATATTATTAAAAACGAAGTAAGCTAGAGTTTTGAAAAAGACTTTTAAAATTATTATTTAAATCTTGGAAAATACTGAGAATTTACTAATACATTATCTTTATGTTTCTTTTTCTTTCAGATCTTTTACCCTGTGCATACTAATTAATCGTTATAATATTTTTTGAGTGAACTATCCTCCATCTCTAAGGCATCTTTCTCTCTCTTCCTCACATGCGCTTTTCTACTGACTGTCTCTCTGTCGTAATTCTCAGCAATATGTCTCAGTCTCTTTTAGTTCTAGGTTAAGGTTAGGCTAGGCTCCTTAATATATTTATTACCACTACACGAAGCATGTCCATTCTCGTTATACCCAAACCTTACAAAATCGGAAAGAAAAGTCTCGAAAAAACTATGATGGTGTATTGGTTGAAAGTCAGATATATCAGGGCAGTATGCATATAGAGGAGGATTTTGCACGAAAAGGGACTGCGCCAACTCATAAAGAGAGTATCGATATAAAAGAAATTACAAAGTTGATTTGTTTAAACGAAATACAGCATAACAAATCATGAATGTGTTGCTTGTGTGAGTCCATTTCAAATAGGTAAAGAAATAATAAATAAGACTTACTCACAATCAATTTAATTTAACTATCAGACGACCGGTTTCGCTTTCTACAATATGCAAAGCATCTTCAGGTCTCGATACAAAGTTAAATAAATGCTGAAATGATAAAAAACCAATATTAGGGTGTTGTCTAATAAAGATAAACAAAGTAGATGTTGTAAATTACAATAATTATGCCAATATTACATGTCTGTGGTTTTATTTCAAAAAGAGTAAGTTGAATAAAATTTTTATTTTATTTCAAAAAGATTTCAAAAAGGTTTTATTTCAAAAAGAGTAAGTTGAATAAAAAGGTATAAAAAGTTTTAAAAGTTTAAACAGACAAGGTAAGGCCCACAAATTATTATAAAATAGTCTATTAGATTGTAATAAATTAATAAATGAGGAAATAAATAAACAATACTTACATGCCGGTACTCTATTAATTGATGGATGGTAGAACATGGTTGAAACTACTATGTATTGTTGAATGGAGAACTCAATTCTGCTATTGTAGTTGTTTGACAGTAAACGGGAAGTTCTTGAGGAGATAGATTTGATCCAATGAAGCAGAGATATGTGTGTGATTGTTTGTTAAATGAAAGTGATGTAATATACCATTGTATTATTAAAAGTTATTTATACTTATTCGAGAGATATATTTATGAAATGTGTGTTATTTATTGAGTAATTGTTTTATGAAGGTGACAGTTTTATGACAATGAATAAGTTTAGATGTACAAATTGTGTGGGTGTGCAATTATTTTTCAACTTGTAGTTATCAAATTTCTTTGATAAAGTTCTATTGGCAAAATAGTAGATTATTGCAAAGTCAAGTAAATAAAATATTAGAATTAAAACAATTAAGGACAATTTAAAACACACTAAAACAGAAAACACTTAGAAGGGACGAAACAAACATTAAATTTAAAAGGGGGAAGGACTTTTATGCACTACATCTCAGTCTTGGGCACAATGAGTTTTTTATGTGTTATCTATTAGATTTTAGTGGTAAATTTGACAGATGTAGGTTAGCATGTGACAGTTCTTCTTCTGTTTCTCAATACTGCAATATTTTATTTACTTGACTTTGCAATAATCTACTATTTTGCCAATAGAACTTTATCAAAGAAATTTAATAACTACAAGTTGAAAAATAATTGCACACCCACCCACACCATTTGTACATCTAAACTTATTCATTGTCATAAAACTGTCACCTTCATAAAACAATTACTCAATAAATAACACACATTTCATAAATATATCTCTCGAATAAGTATAAATAACTTTTAATAATACAATGGTATATTACATCACTTTCATTTAACAAACAATCACACACATATCTCTGCTTCATTGGATCAAATCTATCTCCTCAAGAACTTCCCGTTTACTGTCAAACAACTACAATAGCAGAATTGAGTTCTCCATTCAACAATACATAGTAGTTTCAACCATGTTCTACCATCCATCAATTAATAGAGTACCGGCATGTAAGTAATGTTTATTTATTTGCTCATTTATTAATTTATTACAATCTAATAGACTATTTTATAACAATTTGTGGGCCTTACCTTGTCTGTTTAAACTTTTAAAACTTTTTATACCTTTTTATTCAACTTACTCTTTTTGAAATAAAACCACAGACATGTAATATTGGCATAATTATTGTAATTTACAACATCTACTTTGTTTATCTTTATTAGACAACACCCTAATATGGGTTTTTATCATTTCAGCATTTATTTAACTTTGTATCGAGACCTGAAGATGCTTTGCATATTGTAGAAAGCGAAACCGGTCGTCTGATAGTTAAATTAAATTGATTGTGAGTAAGTCTTATTTATTATTTCTTTACCTACAGCATAACAAGCTGCAAATGAAAATACTCCGTGAAGAGAAGCCGTGTGATATACGCAACATTACTGGAGAATACGATGTCAACACATCTGGAGGCTGTCCGCAGGGGAAGTCTTAGCCCCTTTTTTTTAGACATCACGTCTTGGCACAGACTGTAGCTACAGAATGGACTAATGTATGAGCCTAACGTAACCCTCCACAAATACAAAATCATGAAATTTACCAGAAGGATGAGTTTACAGGCTTCGTAACCTGCTATGTTTCTTATCTCTGCTTGGTTGTTTCTGATTCTATCGATGATCATCACTTTTGTTTTCTACATATTTATTTTTAAACCATATTCCGTACTTATCGTGCCCAGCCTATTCATAATTTGTTACAGTTCTTCTGGTGATGACGCCAATATAACAGTGTCATCAGCATAACGTTAGGGTTTTGATTTTTCTTCCTCATATCATTGCTCCACGTTGCCATTCCTCAAAAAATTGACGCATAATATGTTCTCAAAGACCTTGGAATAGTGAACAAAGCATAAATATGTTTCTATGTTAAACTCTCGAGATTTTTCGATAATTTGACGAATATTAAGAATATGCTTTCTTGTTCCTCTACCTGGTACGAATCCGCATTGTTCTTGGCAAATTTGTGCTAAAAGAATGGATTAGTCTTTCACTGATGATGGTTAGATTGATAAATAACAAATATATTATTTCGACAACCCAACTAGAAAGCACATAAATGGAGTAGTAATAAAAATAAATATTAACACATTCACTGTGAACTTTTGATAAAACTTGGTTGCTATAACGGTATGTATAGCTTAGTCTTTAAAATGCAAAAGATACGCAATTTTAAACACAATTAAAAACAAGTTGGAATTTCTGGATCATGTTATTCAAAACTAACAGCGATTTATTTTACAACGAAAAGTTTACGACAAAGTGGGACCAGGAAGAAAACAAATTTCCTGGCTTCAAAATCTGGAAACTTGTCTTAATATGAAAATCACGAAATTGCTCTCTACAGTAGTCAATAAAGTGCGAACTGCTATGATTGTAGCCACCATCAGGTACGGATGGGAACCCGAAGAAGAAGATCTTGGTAATCTGTCAGTGAAGATCTGTAGGAAGATATGACACAAGAAAACAATTCCAGAATATTTTTAAGTGTCTAGACTTTCTTATTTGAAATTATATACAGCAATTTATTCGCTTATATTTATATGTTCCAGACAGATTCACGCATGTGATTGCCAACGTTCCATAGTAGATCAGCAGATTAAGAAGAAAAACTTGACACCAAGTATTTTTCTTTCTAACCTTAGCCAAAGCTTATTTATCACATTGTTGTCCGTTATTCCGCGATTAAAAATTGGACGAAAAAATAAATAGATAAATCGAGTTTTTGGTTCAATTAAGTTTTGGCTCAGTTTTCAATAATTTGATTGGCCCAAGCTTTCTTAAGATGGCGTGATTAGTTGCGTAAATTATTATTCTTCGTACAATTTGATATATGTATTCTTATACATAATACAAATCAATAAATCTTGAATGTGTTATCAAGGATCACACATTCAAGATGAAAATACCATGGAGAGCGAAAATCACAAATATAGATGTCCTTAAAAGAATAAACCAAGAACGCCAACTTTTCGAAACCGTCAAGAAAAGGAAAACGGCGTATCTAGGTCACATCATGCGAAATGAAAAATACCAGTTCCTCCAACTTATAATCGAGGGTAAAATTGAAGGCAAGAGAGGAATGGGACGCAAGAAAATGTCCTGGCTCCGAAACATAAGGCAATGGACAGGGATTAACGACATACAATCTCTGATACATATTGCAAGAAATAGAGAATTAATGGAAAATGTGATCCCTAACATCCATTAGTGGATTTGCATCTGAAGAAGAAGAAGTTATCAAGGAAATATACTTGCTTTTAATAAAAATGTCTTTCTGGTACGAACTGGGAAGCGAACGGTGGATCTAAAAATCTGATCTGCTCAAAGATCAATTATGGATGCATTGGTTACTCGTCTGCTTCAACAACTCTAAACGTTTTAGACACCATTCAAAATAACGCTCTTAGAAAAATATGCGGTACATTTAGAACAACCCCTATCATAACTCTTCAGTCAGAACACGGTGAACTACCATTACATTTAAAAAGAGGAATGAATACTCCCATATGCGGTAGCTACTCTTAAAATGTCACCAAACCATTCGCTCCTTGAATATTGAGCACGCAAAAACCCACATATCTTAAAAGAACTTTAGAATGTTATATTACACGTATGCCAATCAAAATCACTGGTATAATTTGCATAAAGAGATAATAAAATGACAGATAAGTAAAAGTTATAAACAATTACAAAATTTTATCTATATTTCTTACCCTCATCAATGCAAGACCTCAA